GCCAAAATAACGACCTTGAGAAAGAAGGGGCTCTTTCATCTTTAGGCCCTGCCTGGCGTCTTTACTGATGCTTTGGTGCCTCACACCTTTTCTGAGCTCCCAGGGAGCCTAGATGAGAAGTAAGAGGGCAGCAGCAGGAGACAGCCCCTGTGGTCTGGGTGTGGGCTGGTCCTCATTGGTAACGTCCCTGCCGCCATCCTGAGATCAGTAAGGGTAACTGTGCTCGCACATGCTTCTCCCCACTGAAGGCCTACTAGTTATATGGGTGGGAGGTTGTAGGGCTTTGTGGCTCAGTTCTTGTTCATACCTTCCTTATCCTTTTCCTTGTTTTTCTGGCCCTTTATATTTTTATGGTGTCAGCTTGTTTTAGTGGGTAATTTAAAAATTTTCAGGATTTTGGAAAGAGGTGGGTTGGACTATTTGAATGAATGTAAGGTGTTTAAGGAGAAATAATGTTTGACAGAAGCTAAAATCTGATGTGCTCAATCAGAAAGTCTCCCTGCTCTATGGACATGGTGCATAAGACTTCTGCCTTGTAGGAAGTTACACTCACGTGGACAGGGATGTAGAAAACACACCCGGAGATGCTTCCTAGTTTCAGCAATAGCATGTCTTCCCTGCGCCACTCCCCAAACATGGTGATTGCTTTGGGAATGTGTGCTGACTGAAGACAAAGTCAATTCTCCGTGGACTTCTCTTTTTTTCACTTTTTACTATAAACATCAAACACATATAAAAGTAAAGATGGTATTGTTAAAAGCCCCTGCTTACTGTCACTCAGCTTCAGCAATTATCAGCTCCTGCCCAGTCTTGTATTGTATTTCCACCCCTACACACTTCTCCCTCCCAGACTGTTGTGAAGTAAATTCCAAGCTTCATTTCATTTTTTTCATCCATAGGTATTTCAGTATTTATCTTTAAAAGATAAATACAAAGACAAAATAATTTTTAAAACACAATCAAAATACCATTATCACAGCTTAAAAATTAACATCATCAGATATCCAGTCAGCATTCAGATTTCTCTGAATATGTCAAAAATCTTTAGCTTGTTTGATCATAGGGTTCCAAGTAAAATCTGTTTATTGCAGTTGATTGATAAGTTCTTAAATCTCTTTTTAAAAATCTGTAGCTCTCTTTCTTCCCCCTTTATTTTTCCTTATTGCCTATTTGTTGGGGAAAACTGGGTTGTTTTATCTTACGGGTTTTCACAGTCTAGATTTTGCTAACTGCACACCTGCATTGTAATTAAATGATTTCTCTGTCCCCTCAATTTTGTATAAATTGATGGTTACATCTAGAATCTTGATCAAACTTAGGTTTGATTTTTTTTTCTCTCTCATGAATTTTAATTCTACTTCTGCCACTTGCTGGTGTATGACTTTCAGCAGGTGTCTTAAACTTGCAGAGCTTCAGTTTTCTGTTAGTGAACAGTGGATGTCTTAGATGGGTAACGTGCGAATTAGATGAGATAATATATAGCAGGCCTATAGCACAGTGCCTCACATATATCAAGTTTCAGTAACAAGTTCCCATCCCTTCACACTTCTCTCTGTGTGCTACAGAATAATTTTCAAACCATTTTACTTAACGGTTACTCAGTGGTATCTTCAGAGTTGGTCCTTAGTGTAGTACAAGAGCACAAGAGCCTTGCGTGGTTTGGCCTCTTTAGGTTTGCAGTGCTGAATTCATGCTAGAGAGGCTGTGACCAGCAGGGCCCACTCTGGTTTGTTCCAAGCCTGTGATATGGAGGCCCAGATTGCGGGAAGACTCTACCCACATGTGTGTGCACTTGTGGATATTTTAGCTCCACTCTTTTTATGGGTGTATCCTGTGGGTAAGCTTCTTGGAGACCCCAGTGCAGCTGCAGTAATGTTTCTTCTGGTTGTAAAGTTCTGTAGGGACAGAAATGCTATCAGCGCTAAGTGTTTTCAATAAATAACTTCTAAACTGGAGAGAACTGGTCATCCTTAAAATTCACAACAGGAACTACTTCTTAAAATGAATGTTTATTTTTATCAAACTAATTAATTTCCATAGTTTAAAAAATCAGGGACTTCCCTGGCTGTCCAGTGATTAAAACTCTCTGCACTTCCACTGTAGTGGGTGCGGGTTCAATCCCTGGTCGGGGAACTAAGATCCTGCATGCTGTGCAGCGCAGCCAAAAAATTTTTTTAAGTAAATAAAATACAATAGTGGCAAAATGCTCATTTATAATTTTGTAAATGACAGGCTGAAGCCCCCTTCTTCATTCTCTTTTATATGTTTTTTTTTCTGGTATTTACCTCCACATTTATGAACATATTATGCTTGATTCATTTGTTATAGTTTACTCTTTATGATAGATGGAGGTTCTAGATCTAACACACACTCATCTTTTAGATGCATACAGCTCTTTTTAAATCTGTTTTTAGAATTGTCATTATTATGGCTATGGAAATGTTCACTGCTAGGGCAAGTAATGTACTATGATAATGTTTCCTTTTTTTGAATTTTGTATTTTTCATAGAGTTAAAAATCAATTGCCTTGGTTTTTTCATTTGCTTTTTTTTGTTGTTTTGTTTTTTGACTCTGGGTAAATCTTCCCACACCCAGCAACTTGAAAGTTGTTGTTACTCTAGTTTTGCTTATTGTCAAACCTGTCAATTCTCATTTCTTTTTTTTTTCTTTTTTTCAATTAAAGTGTACTTGCTGTACAATATTACATAAGTTACAGATGTACAGTATAGTGATTCACAATTTTTAAAGGTTATACTCCATTTATAGTTATTATAAAATACTGGCTATATTCCCTGTTTTGTACAATATATCCTTTTTATTATTTTATACCTAACAGTTTGTACCTCTTAATTCCCCATCCCTATATTTCCCTTCTCCCCTTCCCTCTCCCCACTGGTAACCACTAGTTCTCTGTATATGTGAGTCTGTTTCTTTTTTGTTATATTCACTAGTTTGTTGTATATTTTAGATTCTACATGTAAGTGATATCATGCAGTATTTGTTTTTCTGTGTCTGACTTATCTCACTTAGCATAATGCCCTCTAAGCCCGTCCATGTTGTTGCATATGGCAACATTTCATTCCTTTTTATGGCTGAGTAGTATTCCATTGTATGTATATTCCACCCCTTCTTTATCCATTCATCTGCTGGTAGATTCCAGTCTGTTCGAATTGTTCTTCACACCTGCTGCATAGCTGTTTTGTTTTTTTTAACATCTTTATTGAGGTATAATTGCTTTACAATGGTGTGTTAGTTTCTGTTTTATAACAGAGTGAGTCAGTTATACATATATATATGTTCCCATATCTCTTCTCCCTTTGTCTCCCTCCCTCCCACTAAAATTTAAACTGTACAGTCTGAAGATGTAGACTTTTTTTTTTCCAATTATACTTCAATAAAGTTCTTTTTAAACTTTCTAATCTCCAGCTTCTCCTAAGAAACTGGAAGCTCTAGCTGCATTGCAGCTGCAGGACTGCGTGGCAGTGGAAGCTGTCTCTTTCCCAAGTCACTTGCTCTCAAGTTTCCCACAGTCCCTCCCCTTTTTTGCCCTTATCCTACTTTATTCACTTACTTGACTGCCTTAGGAATAAGAATTTATGACTATCAGTTGATTTCTTATCTTCTCTTAACAAACAAAGAGATATTAAAATGGTTTTTCCCAGCAGTCTGAAGTAGAAAGCATAGAAAGCTCTTTAACTTTTTCCATGGTACTCTCTGTTACTGGGTCCCAACTAATTTTCCACACCCTTTTCTTAACACTCCCTTCATCAGCCAATATACATGTGAAATTCTGTATTTTATATATACTCTTGTCCACATTCCCAAACAAGCTGTATGTGTTGAGTTTGCTTATTTAGCATGTTTATGAGATCCATGTGTAAACTATTAACAAAGAAAGAAGGAGAGAAAAAGAACAGTCTGCCTTTAAACTCACAGTTAGGGCTTTTCATTTCTACCAAATGGTAATTGGAAGTTATCTTAACTCTCTCCAGGAAGGGCTAATAGAAAGAACAGAACCCTTGACAAAAAATGATTTCTTGCTGTTTGGTACAGGATGTAAGAGGTTTAAAATAAATGACCTCACAGAAAATGAGAGGTTTTAAAAGTTATCATCAACAATTTCATCAGTACAGGCTGGT